GGAGCCTGCTTCCGATTCTGTGTCTCTCTCTCTCTCTCTGCCCCACCCCTGCTCATGCTCTGTCTGTCTCTCTCACTCTGTCAAAAATAAAGGCAGGAAGCTGGGAAAACACACAGTTGATGACGGGCATGTGTGCTCAACTTCCCACCCCGCTGACCAACGCGCCTGTGTTGACAAAGCTTCAGACTTCTAGCACCACGGTGTCCCCTGGGAATGGAAGAGGAGCCACGCACGTCACTTAAAATCTCGTGGTCAAAAAAAAAAAAATATGATCGTCACATTAAACACCGTGGTAAGGAGACGAAGGGGAGATGAATTACTCTAAGTCCGCTTTTATGACACCCTCGTTAGTATGACTTGATTTAACCCAATACTTAGTCCACACTGTCATCACCACTAGGTACCCTCGCGGAATTGACAGGAAACGCTCCTTTCTTCGCACCAAAGTCGGCGTGTCACCCGCTGGGCAAGAGCTCCTGTTCGCAGCAGCAAAGTGTGGTTCCGAAATAGCTGGAGTGGTTTTTATTTCTTTTTTTAACGTTTATTTGCTTACTTTGAGACAAAGCAAGAAAGTGTGAGAACGGGAGGGGCAGAGAGACAGAAGGAGAGAGAGAATCCCAAGCAGGCTCCGTGCTGTCAGCACAGAACCCGACGTGGGGCTCGAACTCATGAACCGTGAGATCATGACCTGAGCTGAAATGAAGGGTCAGACTGAGCCACCCAGGCACCTCTGCACTGGCTTCTTTTTTAAGTTTTTTTAAATTAAAAAAAAAAAAAATTTAATGTTTGTTTATTTTTGAGAGACAGAGACAGAGCATGAGCAGGGGAGGGGCAGAGAGAGAGGGAGACACAGAATCCGAAGCAGGCTCCAGGATCCGAGCTGTCAGCACAGAGCCCGACACAGGGCTTGAACCCAAAGACCGTGAGATCGTGACCTGAGCCAAAGTCAGACGCTCAACCGACCGAATCACCTAGGTGCCCCCCACTTGGAGTGGCTTTTAAATGCTCCTTTGCAAAAATGTAGTTACAAAGTGTCTGAGTTCTAGGAGGTATTCAGTGTTTCCAAGTGCTGTTGAGGGGGGGCAGTCAGGAAATTCTAGGATTCCAGAAGGTGAGAGATGCTTCCAAGAACTCTGGGTGCAGAGTTCCTGTGGTCAGAGTCCAGGGGCCCCAGGTTGGCAGCAGCCAGTGGAAAGGCAGGACCCCACCCCGTCCGTCCCCTCCGCTGCCCCGCACACCCTCAGTCCCGAGACCAGACCAGGCACACGTGCCCTACAGGGCCCGGCAGGGTCTCACTGTTAATGTCCTCATGCCCACCACTGGCTGTTGAGTGAGGCTAGATGGCCTTGGGGACAGCCAGGCAGAGGGCAGGGGATGAGGGGGGACAGGAGCCACAACAGGGAGGCTCCCGTGTCTTGAAGGAGCTGCACCGTGTCTTTTGTGGCTCTAACCTCGCTTTCAGTGTCCTCCCATCACCAAGGGACACGGCCTGAAACCCACATGTCCAAGCTCTCATCTGCTCCACTGCTGAGCTCATGTTCCCCAAAGGAATTTCCAGTCCCACATGTTGATACTCAGATGGATACACCGTCT